AGCCTCACTAATGAGTGGAAGGAGAACAAGGAAGAAATCAACCCTGCTGTAAGTGTGAGTGACCATCTACTGTCTCTCTTGTAGCCCCTGGCCCTGAATCTCCCTGGGGTCCCATCCGCACTCACCTCCAAGGCTGTGCCAGTCTCCAGGAGAGCAGCCACCACGTAGGCTGTCAATGGGACTGTGCCGTGGATCCCACCCTGCAAAGAAACCCAACAGCCCTCACCCCAAGCTCAGGGGGACAGCCTCAATGCCCCCACTACACCCAGGCAGCTCCACGGACGGGAACAGGCAGAGAAGGACTAGGATCCCAGAAGGAGGCCCGAGTGGCCACTCACCTGGATGTCCTTATTCAGGATCCTGCCCACAGCTGGGAAGGAACCATCTTCCCGCTGATGCCGGATGATCCAGTCCTTGGCAGCCTCCAGCTCTCGAGGGTCAACGAAGATGAAGCTGCGAGCCTGAGCAAAGGACTTCAGGACAAAGGCTGTGAGCCTAAAAAGGGACGAGGCAGGGGCTGAGGGCCAAACATGGTGTATGTAATGGGGTGTGTGGCAAGGATGGAACTTGGCCATTTCGTGTGCTGGGAATTGTGGCATTCCCACATTCCGCATACAAGGTACTATTCTCTCTACTTTTCAACATTTATAACACAAACAGGGATATGAGCATTATGGTCCATTCATACCACGAAATGCTACTCAGGGATGGAAAGAAATGAGTTCTCAAGGTACACAAGGCTGTGGAGGAACCTTAAATGCATGTTGCTGAGCAAAAGAAGCCAGTCTATAGGCAAAACTATGGCGATGGTTAAAAGATCAGGGGTTGGGGCTCGGTGCCTGTATCACAGTGGTTATAGTGCCGGCCACGTGCACTGAGGCTGGTGGGTTCAAATTCAGCCCAGGCCTGCTAAACAAGGACAACTGCAACAAAAAACTAGCCAGGCGTTGTGACAGGGGCCTGTAGTCCCAACTACGTGGGAGGCTGAGGCCAGAGAATCATTTAAGCCCAAGAGTTTGAGGTTGCTATGAGCTGCGATGCCACAGCACTCTACCGAGGGCGACATAGTAAAACTCTGTCTCAAAAAAAA